CCATCTCTGCCCTGCCGCTGGTAACCTTTCTAAAATTTTTTACTAGTCTCTTGTATGTCCAGAGAGATAAATTCATAGAGACAGAAAGTAGACTAGGGGTTACCAGGAGCTGCTGGCAGGGGAAATGAGGACATTATTTAATGGGTACAGAGGTTTTGTTTGGGATGATGAAAAAGTTCTGGAAACAACAGTGATGGTTGAACAAGATTGGGAAGGTAGTTAACGCCACTGAATTGTACACCTAAAAATTGTTAACATGGTAAATTTTATTTTACATATATTTTACAACAACGACACATATGAACAGTGCAAAGAATAATTATAAAATCAACATCCACATAACCATCATAAAAAGGTCCACAAAAGAACGTTGCTGGTTGTCCAAAAGCGCCTCCTGGACTGAGCCTCTGCTCTCACAGGTCACCATTTCCCTGACATTTTTAGTAACGATTTCCAGACTTTCCAAAAAACAGTTCGACCCATGTCTGTAACTAAATATTACATATGAAATGTTTTGCCTATTTTTGAAATTTATATAAATGGAATTACATTTATACATTTGTGTTTCTTCCTTGTTTTGCTGACCATTATGTTAATGAGATTCATTCATGTGATTGATGTATCTGTAGTTTATGCAGTTTTATTCCTTTTTCATGGTCCAACACGTGCACCATATTTATGGTGCTCCATGTATATCTGAAGAGAGTGTGCCTTTGGCATTTGTCGCACTCGGTGTTTTATATTTGTCTATTAGTTCTTTGTTAATCGTGTCATTTAAATCCTCTCTATCCTTTTTTTTCCTACTTATTCTCTCAATTACCAAGAGAAGTACATGTTAAAAATCTCTCAGTGTTATTATATATCTATTTTTACTAGCGCTTATGTTTATTTTTGCTTCATATAATTTGAGCCTATATTACTAATGACGTGTTAGTCTAAAATTATAATATCTTCGTGGTGTATTAAAACTTTTAATCTCACATATACTTGTTTGGGAATTTTATCCTTCCTTTCAGCGGTTACACTAGAAATTCAAGCACACACACTTAATCTAATACGTTTATCCCCCTTCTAGATAATATAAGGGCTATAGAATACAGTGCTTTGCTTTCCCCCTCCCAATGTATAGACGTATGTGTTATTTGTTTCCTATTTTAATTCTAGCTCATTTTATTTTTGATCTAATATTATTGTATGTATGCACGCTGTTATTTTAGATTTGCCTGCGTATTTGCCACTTTCTCTGATCTTCATTCCTTCTCACATCTCAGTCTTTCCATCTAGAATCACTTCCCTTCTGCCTGAGTACCTGTTTTAGAATCTCCTTTAGTGAGGGCACTAGTGGCAAACTCGCTTAGAGTTTTCGTGTGTGTGAGGCTGGACCCATGGCGGAGTGGTTAAGTTTGCATGCTTCACTTCAATGGCCCAGGGTTTGCCAGTTTGAACCCTGCATGCAGACATACACACCACTCATCAAACCATACTGGGGCAGCATCCCACACAGAAGAACTAGAATGACCTACAACTAGGATATACAACTGCGTACTGGGGCTTTGGGGAGGAAAAATAAAAGAGAGCGGGGAAGATTGGCAACAGATGTTAGCTCAGGGCCAATCTTAAAAACAATGAAGAATTTTTGTGTGTGTGTTTCTTATGTTTGAAGTATCTTATGTTTGAAAATATCTTCATTTTGGCCTTATTCTGGAAACGTATTTTTCCTCACTGGAGAATTTTAGATTATTGTTATAATTTTTCAGAATTCTGAAGCTATCACTCAATTGTCTACTTTGCTTTGTTGCTCTTGAGACACCAACCGTGAGTTTACGTTCTGTTTCTTTGAAGGTAAACTAACTTTTCTCCCAGGCTGCTTGTTAAATGTTCTTTTTGGTTTTGGTACTAGACAGTTTTTACTATGTTGGTGCTAAGATATGGATTTCTTTTAAAGTATCCTGTTTAAGATTTACCAGTTCTCTGGAAATTCAGGTATCTGTGAAATGCTATCTTTCAACTCTTCTGGAAAATTCTCAACCATTATCTCTTCAAAAGTTGTCTCTATGATATTTTTTTCTCTCTAGAAATTTGATTAAACGTATTAGAATTTATTTTATTCTCAAAGTCTCTTAACCTCTCATTCATACATATCATCTCTTTGTCTTTCTCTGCTACATTCTAGAAAATTCCCTCTGACCTATAATCCAGTTAACACATTCTCTTTTCAACTGAGCCCAATTTGCTGTTAAACCCACACACCTACATTTAAATTTTAAGCATTGTATTTTTTAATTTCTAAAGGTTCTATTTGGTTGGGTTTTTCAATATGTTAGATTAATTTTATAGTTCTCCACTCGAGCAGATATTTTCCAACCTGTTGCTTGTTCTGTTGAATACAATACTGTAGATGTTTTTATAATCTGTGTTGACAATTCCAATATCCAAAGGCTTTGTAGCTCTACATCTGCTTTATGTGATTTCTGTTGATACTCATTAAGGCTTCTTTACTTTTATTTAGGGCTTGGCTTTGATTTTACTGTTCGCCATCCATTTTCTTCAGCAAATTATTTGTGTGGATGCTTTCAGGCTTAACAAAAGGGACAATCCCTACCCAACCTTCCTCTACACAGCTTCTGCCTCATCTCAACCCTCCTCTTTGTCTGCCAGGCTCGAGGTAGGTGCCCGCTCCAGCTGCTATAAATAAAAAATGTAGCTTTCTTACTTCCTGGTAAGGTATGCACTCTTTGTAAGTGGATTTTTGTTGGCACTTTCTGAGATTTCCCACTGCCTCGTCCCTCAAGCTTCTGTTTTATCTACTTTTGGCAGGCTATATCTGTATCTGGGAGATTTTCACTGCCTCATGCTTTCACTGCACTTGGAGATCATACATTTCATTCTCTTTGTTAATTTGAGTAAGAACAGAGGGGAAAGATTCTTTTTTCTGCCATCGTCATGTTCATATTGGGAACAAAGTCTCGTCTTCTATAAAAGCCAAAATGTACAAAAGAGCTTATGCTGGTCCTGCTGATGTAGTAGGAGAAGGAGAAGGGTTTTCAGAATCAACAGTGTAACGAGAGAGATTTTCTTTTACCAGAAAGAAAGTCTGTGGGCCCCAGAGCAGTGGGATCCCTGTGACATTTGCCATCTTTGTGTAAGGAGAGACCCTGAGGAGCTGCGAACTTCCCAGGAGAAGGCCGAAAGGAGGGATACAAGGTACTCAGGTTTCCAACTTTGCCAAAAAACGCAGCATTTCAGAGTGGCTCAGAAGTAGAGAGAGGACATACTTCAGCAGGGACAATGATAGACTGGCGAGAAGAAGCATTTTCCTTCCTTTACAAACAGAGCACAAGCCTGTAGGATTCTGTTGTCCCTCAGGAAGGAAGACGTGCCATGATTATGCTTATGGGGGAATTTTCTTCCAGACTTGGAGCCAGACATTAAGTTGATGTATAGAAAATGAAAAGTGTAGTATTTGTCACACTTCTGAGTTTGTAAATTAAGACGCATGCCCACTATGGAAATGATAATTACTATTAGGGAGGAAGGACGGAGTGATACGGAAACATAAATGATGGGATGACTTGATTTTGACTGATGCTGAGAACACCAAGCTTCGTCTTAGAAAACAAGAGGCGTTTTGCAGGCAGTAGGGGAAGGAACCTTCCAAGCAAACAAAACCACATGGGTAAAGGCCTAGAGAATGATGTGATTGCAACATTTCAATCAATTGATATGGCTGACCTTGCAATTATTAATGTTGGCCTTATAATCATGTTTGTGCATATTTATAAACTTAGTAATAAATTTAATTGGTATTCTCCAGTTGTTGTCATAGATGCATGGAAATAGCCCAAGGAAGTCTATTTCTAGAACTTCAGACTTTCTGTGGTAGAGAATCAAGATGAATTTCTAAACTCGAAGGCCTTTGCGTAGTATGCTCTATTCCACTGCCTGAAAGAATTAAAATTAACCTCCATTTAAAAACCATCAGCATGAAGAAGGGTCTACTTTGCAGTGTTTCTTTGCTTCTAAAAGTAATTTAAAATGTAACTATTCAGAAGTATTATCAGCCCTGATAACTGTAGGATAAGCTCAACTCTGGTGGGCTTTCTGGAATGCCTCTCTCTCTACCAAAGAATAATGAGCTTAGCTCTCCAAGATACTGTATTACCTAGAGTCACAAAGTTTCATCATCCTTTGATATAACAAATGCATCACTTAAATATCTACCCAGGTCTGCTTGAGAGGTTTATATGAAACACATTAGAACCTGAAGGCCATCAACATCATCATTGCACCATTACTCTAATTTGCTACTTAAAATAAAGGATTTATCCCATCAGATCAAAGTGCTCTTCATTTCCTCTTGACCTCACCCAAGATACAAGAAAACGGGAGGAGATGCCAGGATTGTGCCAGACAACTGTGTGTCAGAAATGAGCCACATTCTGTTTTGGCCCTTGTATGTGCACTTGTCTCCCATTCCTCAGCATTGCCAAGGGATACACATGGTAGCCTTCTGGATTAGGGGTTTCCATCATTCTCTCCACAAGAAAGATACTTCTTTCCACCCAGGCTTTACTTTAAGAATCTGTTTGCCTTCTTTGTATTGTGTACGCTGTTAACAATTTTCACCTTCTGAGCAAATCCAGAAATAAATATGGCTTCTCTGTTCTTTTTCCAATTTTCAGGTCATAGCCATTATATAAAGGAGTTAGACTGAGATTGTCCCAGAATCCAGTCAATGTCTAAGAAAATGAGTACTATGACAACAAAATAAACAAGAATCAACACAAAATGGATCAACTCAGTGTTGACACCACCTCCCCACTCATGGGAAGGATTGTAAATATGTTGCTGGAAAGAACCAGGACACATTCAACTCCAACTTGTGTGGTGGGGGAAAGGAGCAGGATGATGTTCAGAATTGAAACATGTTGTTGTAGGAAAATTTGTAGAAATAGAGGAATTGAGCGTAATTATTTGTGAGTACTTATTCCATACAAATGTGAGCTGAATCAGGTATAATTTAATATTGGAATCATTTACAAGGCGTATTGTATTTTAAGGCCGGGATGATTCATGCATTAATAGACGCAAAGCACTTACTATGAGCCAGGCGACATGCCAAGAACTGAAAATACAGAGGAGCCCAGGTGATCTTTACCTCCAGAGAGCTTGCAATTCAGCAGTGAGTGGCCTTGGTCTGTGTTCAATAGGGCATTATCCACTCAGTTCCCCGCTGCGGCAGAAGCCCCTCTGAGGGCAGGGAAATAACTGTGCTGTTTGCCAGTTTGCCTTCAGTGCCTGACTTTGTGTCAGGCACACAGAAGGTGCTTAACAAACTTCTACTTAGTAAATGAGTGTGTTTATTCAGCATCTGCTTTGTGCCGGGCACTGTGCAATGAGCATCGTGAAGGGTTAGAGGTGGTTCATCATGATTTCCCACAGCCTGCAGGAAATATACTGGTTATTCTTACCCCTAACGTTGTCTGTTGACCACTTTAGCAAAAACTGTTTTCAACTTCAATTCTCTGAAGCTCTATTCTTGAGGTGTTTTCAGACTCAGAGGTAAAATGTACCATTTCTAAGGACTGGATTAGTCCTTAGCCATGGATTGGTAAAAGGTAAACCATGATAACATGGTTCTATTTATTGAAACATTGTTTACTGATCACTATATGCCAAGCCCACTGGATGTTTATAAGACAATTTTAGGTAGCACGTAGACTAACTAAAATTTTTGTTAGGTATAGATTCATTTTAATGCGTTTTAGGAAAAAATGTAATGACATTACTGACTTCATCGATATTATGAATATAATTTAGGACAAGGCTAAGTTCCTTCCATCTGCAAATAGCCTAATTTAAAGTTAATTTAAAGAAAAAAACGTTAAGTATACAATGGTACAGGTGGTACCCGTGTATGACAAGAACCGTGAAGGTGGTGTGCAGGATTTGGAACCATCTGTGTGATTTCACGGGGTACCTAAAACCGTGTAGAGGAAGGCAGTAGGTAAGCTTGGGCAAGAGGAAGAAGGGAGAAGAGCTTAGGTGAGCCTTTCCTACTCTTGGTTTCCTCATCTGCAAAATATGGATGATTTTAGTGTTTACCTCAGGGTGGCAGAATCACGATTCAAAGAGGTCTCTTTACTGTCAAAGTCATGCCATGCCTCACCTAGGCTGGCAAGTGTGTTTTATCTCATGTGCCACTTTGAAGGATTGGAACAAGCAGCCTGTGGCATCAAGTTGGTAAGTTTTTGAGCCTAACCAAGGAAAGTGACTCATAGATGGAAGATGTCCCTTCGACATGTGTTCCCTGTACAATGCCTTGCTGTTGTCCACTGCAGCCTCAGTGACCAGCTCCCCAAAAACCGAGTCAACAAGGACCAGTGTGAAGTAGAGTGGGAACACAATTCAATCCAATCATTTTTTTCACCTTTTCTTCTTTATATGACCACCAATCTAAGAGAGACATACCATTATCCAAGAATAAGATTTCCACCTTAAAATTAACATATGTTTTATAAAAGTATTTTTATATTAATCAAATGTTACTATGTAGCTCTTTGACTATATTCTACTAAGGCTACCTAAAATTTCAGTGAACTTAGCAGGTGTAAGAGTTTCTGAAAGAAGAAACAATATGTGCTCCCCAGTTATCAAAGGTTGATCTTGGTCAGTTGTTGGCTGATGCTTCTCAAAAGCAATGAATGTGTCCAGCACAAACTGATCCTCCCCGAGTGTGGGCTCCAGGACAAGGAAAGGGTAAGTACACTATCACAATCAGATCAACTGCCTTGGAAGGCTCAGTGGAGACACAGACCCAGTGGGCCCCCTTCAGGAGGCCACAGATCCAGTGTCTCCTGCTGCACTGAAGCTTCTCTCTGCCAGCAGTTCCCTCTCCGTCTTGCCGTCATCTTGGTACTCATCTAGCCATCTGCTGGGAAACAGGGAAGATAATTAATATGAGAGAGTATTCAAAGAAGGCACATTACTTAGAAGAGAAAATAAAATACAGAAAAGACTTAAAGAGGCCGTCAGGGATAAGCTCAGAAATTTTAAGAAACATTTAAGATTTCAAGCCACATCCAATTATCTTTAGGACTGCAACTTCAGCAAAACTTCATACTATATTCAAATTGCAAAGTCACATTGATTCATCCTAAAGTGTTGGTTTTTAGAAATGTCCTATGGTAACATTAAAAATATTCTAGTGTATCTTAAAATCAGAAAAATGTTTCATTTGGAGTTTCCTTGCTGGAATCTTTTGTTTCTCTCCTTTCATATGACTGGTAGGTGTATACAGTGGCTACAACTTCAGACTCTAGAATAGCACTTTTCAAGAGAAATATAATAAAAGCATGTACGTAAAGTTAAATGAAAAAAATGAAATGAATTTGAATATTTTTCATTTTAATAAATTCCAAAGATGATCATCTAAACATGTAATCAATATAAAAATTTATTGAATCATATTACTGTGATGGTCTGAATGTTTGTGTCTCCCCAAGGGTCCTATGTCGAAATCCTTTGGGAGGTGCTTCCATCACGAGAGTAGAGCCCTCAAGAATGGGATTAGTGCCTTTATAAAAAAGCCTCCAGGGGCCAACCGGGTGGCACAATGGGTGGCATGTTCAGCTTCAGCCGCCCGGGGTTTGCTGGTTCGGATCATGGGTGTGGACATGGCACAGCGTGGCAAGCCATGCTGTAGTAAGCGTCCCACATATAAAGTGGAGGAAGATGGGCACGGATGTTAGCTCAAGGCCAGTCTTCCTCAGAAAAAAAAGGAGGATTGGCAGATGTTAGCTCAGGGTTGGGTTAATCTTCCTCGAGGGGAAAAAAATGGCTCCAGATAGATCCCTTGCTCCTGCCACCCTGTGAGGACACAGCAAGAAATTGGCAGTTGCAACCTGCAAGAGGGCCTTCGCCAGAACCTGACCATGCTGGCACCCTGATTTTGGACTTCCAGGCTTCAGAATTGTGAGAAATAAATTTCTGTTGTTTATAAGCCACCCAGTCTATGATATTTTATTATAGCAGCCTGAACCGAATAAGACAATTGCATTCTTTTTTATTCTACATCTTTGAAATCTGGTATGTACCTTACACTTACAACACATCTGAATTTAGAATAGGCACAGTTGCAGAGTGCAATAGATATGCTGTAGTGGCTCCTGGAAGGGACAGTGCGGTTCCAGAGTTAGACCACCTTACTCTTAATCCTGACTCCACCAATCATATTTAGGTAAGAAACTTAACCTCTGTGTGCTCAGCTTCCTCATCTGTGAAATGGAAGAATCACAGAGCTACCTAGCGGTCTGCTGTGAGGACCAGATGAGTTCATGTGTGAAGTTCCAGCCTCACCACAGAGCCCATCTCATGATCAGAGTGCAATAAACTCTAGCTATGGACATGCTTCTGATTTCCTCCCCAACCATACAGAAGACAAGTGTGTAAACCAAAAAGGGTCCCACAACACAATAGACCCCTCTATGTCTGTTTTTTTTTTAACTCCACAATAAAGTCCTAAATAATTTCTTTTTCAGAGACCTTTACCTATCTAATAATTAGAAGAGGACTTGAGTTTAAATGGCCATTATGGTATGCTGGGGAAACTAGTAAAACCTGTGTCTTCTAAACTCTCCAAAATCTCAGTAGAGTTTTCTGACAAATCAATTTTATAGTGAACTCAGTAATTTGTGCAGGGATCTCTTCCTTAGAGGTAATTCACAAAATCATAGTGATGTAACGGAAACAATAGATTGATAGGCACTAAACTCAAACTCCCAAGAGTGCCCAAGGGACCAAGAGACTCTGCTCTCTACTCGTCTATGATTTGTGCATGTCATTTAATCTCTTTAGCTGTCAGTTTTCTCACCTGTCAAATGAAACACAAGACTAAATGGTATCTATTCTTCCACCTCTAATGGAATAGCAAGAAAATTTCCCTTGTTTCTCTTTATGTAACCCTGGGCCCTCAGAGAGGAGCAAGGAAAACTGTTTAAAATTGCTACAGTTCGGTTAGTGTTAATAGAGCAATGATACGCCTGTGTGTAGTATTTAATGTGATAGAGTATAAAACAGCAAAACATTTAAATATTTTCATTGGTCTCATATTGTTCCTTACAAAAGTAATTTCTAAGGTTTGTAATTATTCTAAATTTGTAATTTTTGTTTGTAATTATTCTAAAATGTTTGCAATCTTGACTTCTATTCCTTTGCATACCAGCAAAATTAATTTTAGCTCTGAAGAGAAGATGACTACTATTATTACCTGTTCTGGATGATTCTTGATTTTTTCAAATGTGAGATATTTATAATTTCTTAAATGTGACACTTTTATCAAAATACTAACCTTTTATTTACTCCTTACATTATTTAATAGTTCCCATCATATTCAGAGCAATAAAACTATGTTGTAGAATATTAAACATAGCTTCATATGATACCAAATATCTAGACGTGATACAGAATCGAATGCTGTATACACGCTGGCCAAAATAGTAGCCAATAACCGTCTGTGGCTATTGAGCACTTGAAATGTAGTTAGTATAACCCAGGAACTGAATTTTTAATTTTATTTGATTGTGATTAACTTAAATTTATTAGCCATATGTAGCTAGTGGCTACCATATTGGACTGTGCAAATCTAGTTTTTTAAAAACAAAAGTTAGTCTATTATTTGGAGAGTTCTAAATACTTGACATATGATCTAGAAATAAAAGAGAGTTTTTCTACTTCCTTTGCATAAGTGACATTGTATGTAAAGATTTCATTAATCTAAAATAGCTTCTATAACAATAACATTTATCATCATGGATCTTCTAATAATTGTAAGACATTTTTGTAGTTACTTTATGTATATTGTGTGAAATCCTCAAATAACCTTGCAAAATGAGTCATTATAGCTATTTTACATAAGAATAAACTGAGGCTCCCACAGCTAGTCAGTGACGGAGTTGTAATTTAAATCCACTTCTGAAAAACTTCAATCTTTGATCTTTTCACTCTCCAGTAAGAAATAAAAAGATTTCTTGAAAAAAATAAAATATAATGTCTCTTTTCAGAGCTTGAATGTTATAAAATGGCGATAACTACTATGATGCCCACGCATTCTAAATGGATTTGTATTAAACAAACAAACAGATGATCAGAGAAGTGAAACACATTTTGTTCATACAGAATGCAACTCTTATTAAGTTTCAAAAGAATGGATATTTCCTAGAATCAAAACTATTATAAGAGAAAATTCCCTCAGTCAACGGATGCGCTTCTCTAGATGTCTGAAGGTGTGTACAACACTTCAGGAGACAGTGATGCCAAAACACCTGCTAAACTCAGAGCACTCCCAGCTCTCTGGCTTCCTTTAATAGCACCTTCCTTCTCTCTTATGCTATCGTCAAATGGGAGCTCCTTGAAGACAGGGGTGCTTTATTTTTTTATCTCCATATATCCAGGACTTGGTACAGTACCTGACACCTAGGAGGCATGTGATGTTTCTGCTTGAATAAATGGATGAGTAGATGAATAGACACAATGCATGAGTTCTCTAGATTCAAGGAACATGCAATCATATAGACATCCACATTGGCCCCCGAGCTCTCGCATAGGTCTCTGTCATAGCCCTAAGACGTTAACGTTTGTTCTCACATGGACATCCACTGAGTACTTGTAGGCAGAGACCGTACTGCCTTATCTTTGGATCTTCTTGTCTATTCCACTTCTTGATATGGTAGGCGGTCAATTACTATTGGTACAATGACTAAATGAATGAATCAAGATATTCTATAGATTAATAACAGAGGGAAATTAGTTTTATAATTTCTATTTGTAGTACGCTTTGTTTTAAGGTGTATTTGATATTCTATTCATAACAAGCCTATAAAGTAGGTAGATCTGATTTAATCATTGTCATCATAAATTTTGAAAGCTGGGGATCAGAAAGTTTAAGTAATTCAACTATGAATGGCCAACGAATTACAGAGCTGCCCTTGCAACTTGATTCTCCTAACATATTATATCTACACCATATTAGAATAATGCTCTAGAGTTCACAGTTCATACACATAACTTCATTTGTTTTTAAACAATTCAAATGAAGTAGGAGGAACAAGTATTCTTTCTGTTTTACATATGAGGAAACTGAAACTCCGCAAAGTTGAGAGTAGCACCTACACTCACAGAACTAGTGGGGAGCAGCGCAAGTGTTGAAGAAACAGAATCAAGAACCTGTTTTCTAAATCCTAATACAACTTTTTTCCCCATTTCAGAATGCTTAGTCCAGGAGAGAAAAATATTAAACATTACAAATGAGAGAATTACTGGTGCTGATAAGGAACAGCATCCTAGGAGAGAGAGCCTTCAACTCTGGCTTTAAAGGAGGGAATGATGGGGCCAGAAATATGGGAGGAGGCGTGCTGAGGACACAGCTGGAATTAACTGGACAAGGGGCGCATAATTTTGCATAATGCATTATTAAGTAACAGCACACCTGTTGCACGGAAACAGCACCTCTTGATTGCCATCTTCCTCTTCGGATTTAACAACAATACTCTCAAGAAACCATCCATTACCTGTGTAAATTGACAAAGGAGATCACTTTGACTCTTAGCATAAAATATAGTAGGATTGTGATTTTATTCATAGACTCTCCAAAGGTTCTTTTTTAAGCACACTTGTCAGGCAATTTGGGCACAAAAATATGCACATCCAAATTACACCAGCAGAGAAACAAAAGCATGAGCGAGCGACCTAATTACTCAGAGCAGTAGAAGCAGAGGAAGAGAAGATTCCCTACCAAGGATACAAACCCTCTATGAAATTCTACAAGTGTTTAAAAGCCGAGAACAAAGAAGTATATTCACGTGAATGCATTTCAGTGCATTATTTACAGAAGATTGATATGTTTAAACAATAATGTAAAGTCACAATTATCACTCTTAACGGCGAAAATTTAGAAATTATCACAGATTATGGTACTTGTCAATACAATTAAGGAAAAAAAGAAGAAAGAAGGAAAGAAGGAAGGAAGGAAGGAGAATGAAATTAATAGGTGTTGGAAAAGAAGAAACAGAACTGTCATTATTCACAGATAATGTGACTGTCTAAATTAAAAACTCAAGAAACTTACAGAAATAGTGAAATTAAGAGAGATGAGAAAAATGGTTAGGTATATAATAAACATATAAAAATCCATTACATTTCTATTGACCAGAAAAGAATAGGTAAGAAGTATAATTCAATGAAAGTTACAATGTTGAATTGCTATAAAAATTTAAGAATGTATGGGCAAATCTAAAAATAGATGTAGTATAATTTATAGAGAAATTATCTAAATTTAAGGAATGACAGCAAAGAAGACATAAACAAATAGAGAACTATCCCATATTCCTGAGTATGAAGAAATTACAGAGATGTCAGTTTCCCTCAAACGAGTCTAAATTTTCAATGTAATTAAATCAATTTTACCACAGGGTTTTACAAGAAAATTGACAAGCAGATGATAAAATGTACATGGATGAGTAAAGCCCAAGAATATCATAGGCAATCCTGAATTAGAGAAAGGTAGGAGATTCATCCTATCAGTTATCAAAATTTATTATAAATCAATACTAATTAAGACAAGACAGAATTGGTGCTGGCATAGATAAATTGACTGATAGAACAGGAAAAAGGACTCATAATTGACCTACACATTTATACAAACTTGATACAGGCAGTCCTTGCTTTGCACAGTAGAACGGAACCATAAATAGGACTGCATGCTGAAACCGTGGCAAGCAATCTTAATAATCAGTGAGAAAAATTACGATTGTTCAATTGTTAAACATTTTTGCCAAAACATTAAAAACTCTCTTATTGATAATTATAAATGTATATGAAAATGAAAAAATATCAACACTAATATTAATACACTGTAATTTAAAACATTAGATAAATTGAAAATTAAAAGGTCTATTTCTTTGTAAAAACAAAAAACTTATCAACAGTAGCTTGAATGGTGCTTGGCTTATTTTCCTCGTCATATAGCTTATAATAAAGAGCAAGCATATACAGATGGCCAACAGGCATATGAAACGATGCTCAACATCACTAACTATCACAGAAATGCCAATCAAAACTACAATGAGATATCATGTCACACCTGTCAGAACGGCTATAATTAACAAGACAAGAAATAAGTATTGGAGAGGATGTGGAGGAAAGGGAACTCTCCTACACTGCTGGTAGGAATTCACACTGGTGCAGCCACTACAGAAAACAGTATGAAGAGTCCTCAAAAAAATTAAGAATAGAACTACCATACGAACCAGCTATTCTACTGCTGGGTATTTATCCAAACAACACAAAACCGTGAATGCACAAAGGCATATGCACCCCAATGTTCATCGCATTATTCACAATAGCCAAGACTTGGAAGCAACCTAAATGCACATCAAGGGACAAAGGGATAAAGAAGATGTGGTATATATACACAATGGAATACTACTCAGGCATAAAAAAGGATGAAATCTTGCCATTTGTGACAACATGGATCAACGTTGAGGATGTTATGCTAAATGAAATAAGTTAGAGGGAGAAAGTCAAATACTGCATGATGTCACTCATAAATAGAAGATAACAATAACAACAAACAAACACATAGAGACAGATATTGGATTGGTGGTTATCAGAGGGAAAGGCGGGAGAGAGAAGGAGAAACGGGGTGATTAGGCACATGTGCGTGGTGAGGGATTGTAATTAGTCTTTGGGTGGTGAACATGATGTAATCTACACAGAATTCGAAATATAATGATGTACACCTGAAATTTATATAATGTTATAAACCAATGTTACCACAATAAAAAAAATAGTTTAAAAATTTTTAGAAAGAGAAAGCACCTTTTCTACGCCCTAGCAAATTGTCAAACTCCTAAGTTTCAATCAGCTTCCGATATTTTATCCTCTGTGCTTTTAATGTCATAAAATATCTCCGACAGTCCCTTTAATATGACTTTTTTACCAACATCACTTCCTCTGGGACATGTTCATCCTTTTGGTCACAATCATTTTCCTCACTTATGGCCATAAGTCCCCTTCATGTAATTCCTCTGACTGCTTATCTAAAGTCTCTCAAACACCGACAGTGTCAACATTCCCGTAGGCAGATATTTCTTCTGTAACTCCATTTATGTTTGACTTGAATTTCACTTCTAGCATTATCACTTTTTGTTTCTTTGATGTGCTTTCGTCTTTGAAGTACACATTTTTGTAAAATGTCACACGGATTTATCACTGGGAGACAAGGAGTCAATACAACGACATGCTCTGCTGTCTGTGCATGAACTGTGTAACAGATGGGCAGTGACGCCTCACTGACAGACTTTGAAAGAGGTAAAGTGATTGGTCGCTGATCTGGATGTGCATCTGTTATTCGTGTCGTGATCCGTGGACCGAAGAAGAGCTAGCAGTGAAGTGTGTACTTGGTGCAGTTACAATTAGCAGACCATGGTAACTGAAATTTGAAACGTTATTTAACTAAATCATTGTAACTGAAATGGGTGCATACAGAAACCATGCAAAACAAAGACTGCTTGTATCTGATAAAGGTGCCTTTGTAGAGCACTCAGGAAAAGATGGGGTAGGTGATAAATAGGGAGTACAATGGTTATCTACATGGAAAAAGTGAAAGCAGATTCCATCTTCATGTCATACACAAAAACCAACTACAGATGAGTACATATCTAAATCTGAAAGACAAGACTTCATATATATGTGTGTGTGTGTGTGTGTGTGTGTGTATAAACATACATGCAAACATATGAATAGCTATCCATCTATACATATATGGAATACCCTAGGGGGAGGGAAGGCTTTCTTAAGATACAAAATGTGCCGATCATTGGAAGAAATAACATATTGTTAAATTCAACTACATTAAAATTAAGAGCTTCTGTGCATTAAAATATACCACAAACTGGAGAAGATATTGTGGTGGTAACTTCCAGCTGCTCTCCCTTCTTCAACCACTGCAATGCTAGCACCCACGTCTCCCAGGTGTCTTTGCAGCTACAGATAACTGTAGTACTAATTTCTCAGTAATGAAACAGGACTCGAAGTAGTATGTGCAGTTTCTACCTCACTTGCTTAAAAGCCATTGTTGCCGTTGTTTTCTCTCTTTTTTATGTGCTGTGACCAGCTCCACCACTCAGAGGAAGGCAAGATCTAGATGATGATAGAAGAACAAGATGAAGGGACCCTGGGTCCCTGAGGGCGGCTGGAGCAGAGCCATCACAACTGCTCACTTTGGGACTGTTACCTGACTGTGAAATAAGCTTGTATCTTTTTAAAATCCTTTTTAGAACATTTTTTAATTAAATGTCCTTTGCCTTTATCCTAAATATTACAGACAAGAACATGTATTTTCACAGAAGAGGAAATTCAATAGACAAAAAAATGAAAGAATGCTCATTCTTCTTAGAAATCCGAGGAATACAAATTAAGTCTACAATGGGGTACCATTTTATACCCCAAAATTAAGCGTACCAGGTGTTTGTGAGAATATGACATAATAGAAATTCTTATACACTGTAGGTAAGAGTAAGACTTAGTAGAATCACTTTTGAAAAAAGGGATTTGTCTTATAAAGCTGATATGATCATATTCTTTGACCCAGCAACTGACTTCTGTGGATTCACCCTGGAGCAGAGTTCTTAGCTTCAGCACCAGTAAGATTTTGGGCCCAGCAATTCCTTGTTGTGGGGGCTGTCCTGTGCATTGTAAGATGTTTAGCAGCACCCCAGGCCTCTACCTACTAGGTACCAGTAGTACCTCCTTCCCAGTGTTGCAATAAAAAATAATCCCCACACATTGCCAAATGTCCCTGGGGGAGGCAAAACAATCCCCATTTGGGAGCCACCACCCTAGAGGAACTCTTGCTTCTATGTAGTAGGAGACATGCACAAGGACATTCACTTCAGACCGTTTGTGACAGTTGGACTGGATACAACAGAACTACCCATTAACAAGAGATAAATAAGTTAATTATGTGTAATCGTGCTGTAGAATATTACACAGTCATGAAAAAATAACACTATCACACAATAAAGTGAATGAATCTTAGACACACAATCTTGAGTGAAAAAAATCAATTCACAAAACACTTCACACAATATGTCACAATTTTTACAAAGTACAAAACTATCAAAAGTATTTTCAAGGATACCTAAATAACTAATAAAGATTTCCTTTTTGGAGTAAGGCTTAAAAAAATCAAGAAATAATAAACAAAAGATTCTGGATGGCAGGGGCTGGCCCCATGGCTGAGTGGTTAAGTTGCGTGCTCTGTTTCAGTGGCCCAGGGTTCGCTGGTTCAGATCCTGGGGGTGGACCTACATACCACTCATCAAGTCTTGCTGTGGCGGCATCCCACATAGAAGAATTAGAATGACTTGCAAATAGGATACACAACTATGTACTGGGGTTTTGGGGAGAAAAAAAAGATTCAGGATGGCTACTCTGGGGGAGAGGAATAGAAGCAGTGAATACAGGAAGAATTGCTGCTGTCAAGGATGTTCTAGGTTCAAATTGAGTGGTAGGTTATCAGACTATACAAATTTTGAAAATGAAAAGAAAAACATAGATACTCTATCATGGTAATTTTTTCTTTTAATGAAAAGAGTGTGCACAACATAGGAAGGATGGTTCAAAGAATTTAAAAATCATGTTATAGTAATTACTTTCAACCTTCCTTAACGAGGTTTCAAATAGCTTAATCCCATCAGTCAGAGAAGCTCATCAAAATGCCCAAGTATCCTGCCGAAATCTAAACCTCCCCCTCAGCTTGCCTGTCACGTTCTCTTTTCTTGGGGGAGATCTTCATGTTCTTCTGGACTTCTCCAGGTCCCTGCCGTAGGTGCAATAGCACTCTGAGGGTCACTTTCAGACTGTGTGTCATACTTATTATACTTGCGTATTTCACATGTGTCTGCCCCACTAGGCCCTGCCCCCGAGGGCAGAGAGCCCCGGGCATCCTGTTCACATTTGAATGCCCAGCCTCTGACAAAGTGCCTGGCATATAGCAGGCCCTCAACAAAGAACTCTTACATCAGAAAGCAGTGATTTTTAAGCAACAGTCTGAGGACCAAATGAGTCAGAATCCCCTAAGGTGCTTGTGAAAAAAAAACCCGTAATTCTGAGGACTCAATACCCACTGCGTGAAGACATAATAGATACAATTTTGAAACTGCCTCACAGGTCCAGAGATTTTACGCACATGCACAGACACACACACACACAAACACACAATAAAGCTTTTGTCTTCCTAGGAAATTTCCTTCATAATAACACAGCAATAAGCTTTTTAAATCGTAAACCCAATCTGACAAAACTTCATTTAACTAAAATTTCTCAAAAGAAAATTATTTTCTGATCTCACTTTTAAATAACCTGTACATTTATCTTTTCTTTCACTTGTCTCTTATGCTACTTTTAATAGATTTTCAAAACAAATTTCTTACCAAGAAAGCTAATCTTACCTGGACCTATCCCATTGTGACTAATCAGAACTTTCTTCAATTTTCCAAGAGACACCGCCTCAATGGAAAAAATATCAACCTGCACAATACAAAAATAAAGTGAATGACCATTAGGACACTTCCTTTCTCTAGAAAAATGCATTACTATTCGTACTATATTACTACGGTACAACAGTGCTATATGCTACTACTAGATTATTACTGTTACTAGTACCATAAAAATTACCATTTGCCATTTTATAAGCAAAGTCCTACACTATGCCTTGTGGGACATACACAAACAAGGAACACATAATTCTTGCCCTCCTCAAATACAGTCTAATAAAAAAGATTTTAAAAATTTAATCACAATACTTGTCTACTACTAATGATAATAGTAGCTCATATAGTCCTTACCATATGCAAACTCTTCCAAGAGTTTTTCACATATTAACTCATTTAATTCTCAGAACAATCCATTAAGTAAATACTACTCATTCTCTTATTTTACCGTTGGAGAGACCAAGAGATAGAGAGTAAAATTACTCTCCCAAGGTCAACATCTAGTGAGCAACCAAGCCAGGATCAGACCAGGCAGTCTGCCTCCAGGATGCATGTTTTCCATCATTGTTGTTTTCCTCTCAGCAGCTTTTGTTTCTAAATAAACTATGTATTGAGATATGTATATGTACATACACAGACATATGAACTTTTAAATAAACTATTTATTAACTATATACAAAGTATACAAATTACAAATGCTCAGCGCACATGTCCATGCAAGTAATAAAACCTTAACAGTACCCCAAGAACCCTCCATGGCCCATCCCAGTCATTATCTCCCACAATGATAACCATTATCTTAACATTTAACACTTTTAATTAGTTTTGCCAGGTCTGGGACCATAAATAGAATCACACAGTATGTTCTCTTTCTGCCTGGCTTGTTTCACTCACCCTTTATGAAATTTATCCATGTTGCTTTGTTTAACAGAATTTTGTTCACTTTCATTACTGAGTATTATTCCATATTATTCATCCGTTCTTCTACTTATGAAAAAAAATTATTTCTGGGTTTGGGGTATTACAAATAATGCTGCTCAGAACATTCTTATACATGTCTTTTTATGTATATTTATGTACATTTCTGTTGGTGAAATGATGGTTTATAGAGTGTTAGTAAATAGTCTCAATTTCCCAAAATGCTTATACCAATGTGCACTCTGGATGCTTAGCGTATGAGAGGTCAATGAGCTCCACAGGCTGATCAATACTTGGTATTGTTATTCTTTTAAAGTTTAACTCATTTGATTGTGCACAGTGACATTTCATTATGGTTTTCATTGTATTTTCCTGATTATCAATAAAGTTGAGTACTTTTTTCATGTTTATTGGCAATTTGGATATCCTCTTTTAGAAAGTACATATTCAAATATGCTCACGATTTAAATTGGGTTATCTGTCTTTTTCTTGTTGACTTATGGACGTTCTGTATACAGTTTGGAAACAAGTCCTTTGCTAGTATATATTTTACAATATCTTCTCCCATTTTCTGATTTGCATTTTTACTCTCTTAATGGTGTCTTGAGGAACAGAAGTCTTTAATATTAAAATGGTATAATTTATCTTTTTTCTTTATGCTTAATACTTTCTATGTTTTGTCTTTAAAATATTAGTCTATATGTGTATTCCTATGTTTATAACAGCATTATTCACAATAGCCAAAAGATGGAAGCAACCAATGGATGAATGGATAAACAAATGTGATATATATACACATGAAACATTATTCAGCCTTAAAAATAGGGAAATTCTGTATGCTACAACACAAATGAAACTTCGAGACATTGTGCTAAGTAAAATAAGTCAATCACAAAAAGACAAATACTATATGATTCCACTTAGATGAGGTACCTAAGGGAGTTAAATTCATGAGACAGAAAGTAGAATGGTGGTTGCCAGAGGCTGAGGTGGAGGAAAAGAGAGAGGAGAATGGGAGTTATTGTTTAATGAGTATAGAGTTTCAGTTCGGCAAGATGAAAAGAGTTCGGGAGATGGATGGTGGTGATGGTTGTACAACAATGTGAATGTACTCAATGCTAATGAATTAATGAATTGTACATTTAAAAATGGTTAAGATGGTGAATTTCAGGTCATGTTGATGACAATTAAAATTGTTTTTAAATTTTAGGCTACTTTCAAGATCATGAAGATTTTCTGTTATGTTATCTTCTAGGTATTTTATTCTTTTACCTTTCATATTTAGACCTAAATTTACATGGAATTGATTTTTGGGTTTAGTGTAAAATAGGACTTATGATTTCTTATTTTCTATAGTGATATCCAATTTATTCTCAGAATTTATTAAAAAGACTCTCCTTTCCCTGATGCTGCACATCAGAATATGTGGCTCTTTATCTGGCTTTACTGTTTCTTTGCTGTATTTGTCTTGCCTTGTACCAATTAATGCTGTCTTAATTACCTTGACTTCACAATAAATCTCGCTAACTGGTAGTATAAACCCTCCAACTTGTTTTTCTCAAGATTAATAATTTTCAAGATTATTTTGGGTGTATTTGACTCTGCATTTCTACATACATTTTAGAATTAGATTGCCAATTTCCATAAAAAAATGTTTATGGGATTTTGATTGGTATTGCATTGAAACTGCAGATCAATGAGGAAAGAAGTGAGAATTTTATAATACTGTGTCTTCCAATCCAGGAACATAGTATATCTCTATTAATTTATGTCTTTTTAAATTTTTCCAGTAATATTTTGTAATTTTCCATGTAGAGGTCTTGCTTTGGCTACCATGGTGCCTGTTGTGGAATGGGCCCATGGATGGAATAAGCATGATGGCAGGGATGGAGACTCTGCACATGGCCCTAGAACATGTGGTCCCTCCCCCTAGCCAGCTTCAGCCGCTTCTGCTTTTGGTGCCCAGTCTGTCAGCTGAGGTCCTGGAGGGGTCCAGTCCCTGCTGCCAACAGCAATGACCTCTAGAATACACACTTATATTGGCCTTTCCTCTTTCCTTCTGTCCTTCTCTACATTCCTTCACCGTGCTTCCTGGGATCATCATTAACCACTTGCAGGACATGCCACAGCTTCTGCCTTGGGAGAACTCACAGGAAGGTCATACTTTCTGAGTGGGAGGCCTGTCTTTACTGCTGGGCCCAGATTGAACCCAGTCCCATGAGACCTCCTAAATCTCTGCACAGCGTCTTAGGCTCTCCACTGCCACTTCTGGCTCCTTGCTTCCAAACTTCTACTTACAAAGGGCAGAAAGCTATACTGAACATCAGGTTCTCTTCTGCACTTCCTTGCTCTCCAGGATCTTGGGATTCTCCAACTCCACCTGCCTTAGCAGCTCTCCAATGCTTTTAAAACCAATTTTAAAAGATATTTATCAAACGTTTCTGGTTGTCTTCAAGATGGTCATTTTGTTACAGGCTAGACTGCCCTAATTGGAAGCAGAATCTTTGTTGTTTTGTTTCTGTTTCTGTTTTTAATAGAAGAAGAAACTGGGAGTTACTCATGGCTGCATTGTTCCTGGTTAAGTCCCACCTCGATTCAACTCCAGAATAATGAGATGCACACCAAGAAGCGACCATACCTCCCTGTACTTCCTAACTGGTATCAAATGAGGATTTTCTGTTGGTGTCTTTTTAGCTAAAGAAATTAGAGGAAACATGGTACGTAAGAATTGATAAGGATTTTTCTATTACCTGTCCACGCTGGAACTTGACTTTGTTATTTTTGGATTGATGAAGTCTTCGATTCCCCGAATCTCCTCTGGTGCCAATGAGGTTGATAAATACGTTAGATTCTGTCTCTGCACCAGGCTTCCTGCCAGTGTATACGTAGATCTCATAAGCCACCACTGAAATGTCAGAAATCTGATATTATCTTTCTCATTTTTACTTTCTCTTTAAAAGTATTAGATACCCTGGAAGGAAATCAGAATATTCTTCAATCTAGTTGACATGAGTATCTCTATGTTACTTGGCCTCAGCTCTTTTTCTTATCTGACCCCTATTCAGACATTCTCTGAGTTCTTTCATGTTTACCTCATACATACAGACTCTCGGCTATTCCCAGAACTCCTGTCTCAAAATAATTATTGTTAACAAGTATGCACTTTCATTAACCACTACACTTTCACAGTTATTATGAGAAGTATTAAAAAAAAAAACTTTCCTCTCTCTTAATTAGATGAAAGTGGTAATTTTTCCCCCTGAAGTTTGGCTGTTCTAATCACAACTGGTCACTCATGCTGCTACTTCATGGAGATTACTATTCCAATAATGGAGATTTTTAATAGCCCTTTTGAGAGAGAAAAAATACAAAGATCCTAGAAAGATGAAAATTTAAATATAATTTTTAAAAAAGAGCCCAGTGAGATACCAGCAAATGATAATCCACTATATTTGACCTTAGAATTAAGGCAATTTCTGAGACACTGGTAGAAGCCACTAATTAGAAAAGAGATTATTCTTGCTGATACTACTAATATGAATAATATCTTGGATACAAGGAGTACCTTTTATTTCCAGTCCTAGAACTCTTTACAAATCATACTCTGTGCAATTGAATGGTGTATTTATAGAAATTCACATTAACATTTTCCAAAGAACTCAGACATGAAAATCCAACAAGTAAGAAAACAAGGTAAGTGAGAAACATTGCCTGTTTCCATCATGCCTGACCTTTAAAAAGACAAATGTGGTATATTGGGAAATGGTGTAAGCAGAAAAGATAAATCAGTTTCTTCGTACAGTCTTACATATTCCAAAATACTCTAGAATGAGACCCAGCTGAACTTAAGCAGAAAATTAGAGGACTTCTCATGTATTTAGGACAACCAAAGAGATCTTTCAAACTACCTATAAAGAAGATTTGGCTAACCTTTACAACCTGCATAACTGTCTAAATGGATTAAGCCAAAACTTATGCTAGAATTCTTCATGAAAATAAGTATGTGGACAAGCATGATTGGAAGTCTGTATAGGGAAATCATGCTTCTGTTTACTGAAAATATTTTCTTAATTTCAGATGGAGTAAACTTGTGTACAAGTTTTTTAAAAAAAATTAGGACATTTAAAGTATTAAAACACATATAAAGTAAAAAAAATGATTGTTAAAAATTTTAAGAAGTACATATCAAAAATTATTTAGAACAGAGACTATATATTTATAGCACAAAGAACAGCATTCGGGGATCCCCCAATCACTGTACACGCCCTATGATCAAGGCATGCACCCTGCCTGCCACCTGCACTCACTTCAAATGCTTCTCAACATTGTGTTTCCAGAAGCTGCTATAAATTAAGTTTTATACACACACGCCAAAAACCAAAAAAAAAAAAAAAAAAAACTTACTTCTCACCTCAAATTCAAAGAAAGAGAAGTGAATGTACCAGAAATTTAGAACAAAGTGGTTATCATAGTTGAGCACTAAAGTTTATTCTCAAACCACATCGAAAAGTCACATAATTTAAATTGGAAGTTGAAAGAAAACATATCCTTCCAGAAGAAACAGCCATTTTGCTGAGATCTGTGACACTGACTCCACTTTAATAGTGTGAGATCACACAATTCACTAAGCATTTGCTGTAGCTCTGCAACAAAAGCACGCAGATTCTTTTTTAAAATGCTAAAGTCATAACAATAGATTCTAACTCCAGAATTTTTCATAATCCCCAAGGCAATATAAATTTTTTCCTTCTCTAGCAACACAAAGGGAGAATTGAAAGAATACTTAGTTAACTTGTTGCTTAGACCCGTCCTAAAATACCACGTGTTTTAAAGGCGACTTAGGAGGCGAAGGTCTCAGCGAATCCTTTGCTCAGTCTTCTCAGGCAGGAAAGTCAGGGCTCAGCGCTGTGATTTAAAGGCAGGGCCACATGTTCTAGCTAACAGACATGCATTCTGTTGTAAAAATGTAGAAGGCTAACAAATTATCTTTACTACAAGAAAGGGACCCCCCCACACACAAGGAGGTGAACTCCTGAGGGAATCCAATAGTAAATTTAAAAGTGAGTTAGAAAACAGCTTACCACTAGCTTGAATACTTGAAAAATACAGGGCTAGGTTTCTAGATATTGATGCTGTACAGAATGGAAGAGATCATTTTATTTGAACGTATCAAAGACAAGTATAACTAATCAATCATTCTGACTACAAATATCCACTCTACAGCACCAGATTTTAAGTAGTTATTAATATATTTATCATGTGATTTAGCTAAAAGTATCTGAAAGAGTTAACTTGGTTTAGATTATCCATATATGTTGGACTTTTTTGCCAACATTTTTAAAATGTTTTCCTTACCATAGTTGATGCTAAATTTTTCTTTCTGAGAATTAGTCAGTCGCCTCAGCTGCTTATGAAAGCCTTACTCACTCTGACAAAGTCGGCCACAAGCACAGAATAAAATGTTTGTCTTCCTATTTGCCACAATTGTCATCCAATTCATTTGATAGCTAAACTATACATTTTCATCATTTGGGGGGCATTATTTTTCTCTTCTGTTCTCAATGTCATCATCTTAAACACTCTCATCCTTATATTTACCTATATTTATTGTCATTTCAACAATTTCCCAGTCTCTCAAAGAATGCATAACACATGCATCATTGTCAAGGCTCAGCATTCTTTGGGCTTATAAACTTGTGACCTTCGTAAGGTTCAACATCATCTTATTAGTGACACAAAAATCTTTCAAATTTTCACCTGCAGGGTTTTTTTTCAAACATCATTTTAGGCCAGAGACTGTGCCAAGAGTTTCTTAATGATGATTTATCAACATCAACTCCAAGCATTAACATCTCCATAAACAGTAGCCTTAAGATTTCCTTTCAAGAAATCATGGATTCTTCAGCCTCTGCTTACTGCAGCAAGCATAGAGTTAAAATACACATATTTGTTCTTTGTGTGGACATATATAATCCCTCAGTCACAAGGATATATTAAAAATGTCACATGGCTGGGGAGGGGGCCTAAATAAATTCCTCAAATAAGCTTTTTCTCTGGAAATTTAGGAGAAGGAAACCAAAGCCATGGTAGGATGTGTGTTTCCTTCAGCAGAAGTTAAGGAGGAAGCGATACCTAGAGACGAAGTAGAATGAGCCACCTCAGAATGGCCAAACAGAGCAGATGGTGGCCCTCACACCAGGCGTCCTCTCCACATATGAGGGTGACATCCAGGAACTAAGGTATCCATGTGGAATAGGAAAAGGAGCAGAATAAGAATAATTCTGAATTGACCAGTTTTTGACCAAAAGAAACTGTCTTATATTGGAAGTGACTGAGCTTATTTTGAGTTAAAATGATTAAGATTTCTATCATCAGTGGAAATAGGGGCTTGGATTATTTATTTATTATTTTTTAAGGTTTTATTTTTCCCTTTTCTCCCCAAAGCCTCCCGGTACATAGTTGTATATTTTAGTTGTGGGTCCTTCTAGTTGTGGCATGTGGGACACTGCCTCAGTGTGGCCTGATGGGCGGTGCCATGTCTGCGCCCAGGAATCGACCCGGTGAAACCCTGGGCCACCGCAGCAGAGTGCGCGAACCAAACCAGTCGGCCACAGGGCCGGCCTGGAGCTTGGATTATTTTTAAGTCAAGTTTGTCGAAACATGATTTACATGTAGCAAAATTCACTCATTTAAGTTATAAGGTTTTGATGAGTTTTGACAAGTGTTTACAAGTCCTATAATTACCAGTACAATCAAGATAGAGAATAATTCCATCACCCCAAAAAGTTTCCTCTTGAGGGCTGTGATTTTAATCACTTATAGAGAATTTTTAAAAAGTTATATTTCTGCACCCCTCAAAGTTACGATTGTGAAGATTCAAATCCATCACATAATGATAAAATCAATGCAGATGTAGTAATAACCTCAATGACATCTAGAAAGATTGTCTCATACATATTACCTGCCTGATTTTTGAATGAACATATAAAGGAAGTGAATTCAATTAACTGTTTATAAAATATATCAAATTTAGTACAGTTCTGTGATTTTCATCTGAATTCCCTTTGAAGGATTGCCTCCAAATATCTTCTTGTGCCGAGAAGTTTCTCCTTCCTTTGGTGGCCCATTTCTTGATTTCCCAAAGCATCAGATATGTGATGATGAGGGCCTTTTCACAAAGCTGGCTGGAATAGAGTGTTTTAAATATTTAGCCATCAGAAGTTTATTTGCAGAACTGAATTGAGTCCTTCACCATCAGACTTATATGTGTTTCTATACATTCAAATGAGGAAGGGCAAGTGTACGTTTCAGGAGGAAAGGACCACCACTAACTGAGTCTAAGAAGTGAAGATTGAACTTAAGAAGTACCAATGGCCAAATAAAGTCAGCCCAAGAAGCAGATATAGAAAGTAGCAGGCTGCTGCCTTATCCCACAGTCTGCCATTCGTCAGTATTAGAACGTTATAATAAATTAGCAACCAGAAAATGTTCCTCCTACTTTTAGGAAGCTATTGCCAGAGAAACACGCTAAAGGGAAGCAATCTTCTCAATTTAAGATAATTTTGAAGAAATCATGAAAAATTATTTCATAATTCTTTTATTCAATTCACCGGAAACTATCTATGATACATGAAGCAATGGCTGTGTTTGCAGGATTGTCTGTAGTCCAAGCCATCGTTCACCCTCAATCTGAGCATACTCCTGCAGGAGTGCACTTATCTTTGTTGGGGACATCTTGGTCCCCCTCTCCTAAACCTCACATGTTATGAGTGTCTGGCTCATGTCTTTCAGTTTCCAACCCCTAGCTCTTGGCACATGTAAATGTTTACTGAATAATACTGAATAAATGAATGATTATCAAGCCACCTATCAATCAAAAAGTGTTGTGTACTGCTCTCTGCTGGT